CACACACACACACACACACACACACACACACACACACACACACACACCAAACCTGAAGTCTTGAACCTCCTCAGTGGTTTCTTACATTTTTGATGTTAATTTCTCAGACCCATGCTTCTTCTCCCCAGTGTGGCTTTTAGAAGATGAAGCTAACAACCCCTCTAGACCACCAGCTTATAATAAAACACAGCCTGTGGCATGTGTATTCATTTACTTATCCGTCAAATATTCATATAATGCCTATTACGTTCCAGACACTGCTCTTATGTTGAGGATAACAGAAGTGACCAAAACAGAAAAAAAATCCCTCTCCTCATTAGTTTTACAGTAGTGGAGGTAGACAGAAAATAAACAAAATCTACTATATAAGAGATGGTGATAACTGGTGGGGGGATAAGGATAGGTGTACGATTTAAAATAGGACAGTCGGGGCTTCCCTGGTGGCGCAGTGGTTGAAAGTCTGCCTGCTGGTGCAGGGGACGCAGGTTCGAGCCCTGGTCTGGAAGGATCCCACATGCCGCGGAGCAACTGGGCCCGTGAGCCACAACTACTGAGCCTGCGCGTCTGGAGCCTGCCCTCCGCAACAAGAGAGGCCGCGACAGTGAGAGGCCCGTGCACCGCGATGAAGAGTGGCCCCTGCTCGCCGCAACTAGAGAAAGCCCTCGCACAGAAACAAAGACCCAACACAGCCATAAATAAATAAATAAATTTAAAAAATAAAATAAAATAAGACCGTCAAGGAAGACTTTTCATTTAGCAAGTGATATCAAGTAGAAGCCTGAGGAGGTGATGGAGTGAGCCCCACATATATCTGAGGGCACAATTTCCAAGCAAGAAGAATTGCAAAGGCAAAACTCTGAGCAGGAAATTAATTGGTAACTTGAAGAACATCAAGGAGGCCACTGCGCCTAAGCAAAGAGACCCAGTGGAAAAGAAGAGAAAAGGGCGGAAAGCTATCATCATGTAGAGTCAGTGTAGAGACTTTACTCTGAGTGAGATGTGGAAAAAGTAGTATAATGTACTTAGATGTAAAGGAGTGTCTCAATTACTGTGTTGAGCCTAGAGCAGGGGGTGAGGCAAGGGTACCTGTAAGGAGACCAGTTAAGCTATTGCAATAATCCCTATGTTGTATGCTTGTGGCTTGTACTAGTGGTATTGGGAAAGAGTCAAATTCTGGATGTACACTGAAGGTAGAGCCAACAGGTTTTGCTCATAGATTGAATGTAGGGGTGATATGGAAGAGAGGAACCATAGATGACTCTAAGGTTTCTGGCTTGAGTAAGCAGAAGGAAGAACAAGACAGAGGGAGACACAAATTTGGGATGGGGTGGAGTTCAGTTTAAAATGTGCTAAGTTTGGATTGTCTCTGCATTATCAACATGGAGACATCAGGGAGGAAGCTGACCCGAGAGCCTGGAAATTAAAGGGAAAAAAATCCAGGCTGGAGATATAAATACGTGTTTTCAACATCTAGATGGTATTACTGCATCAAGTCTATATGAGATCACCTAGAGGTAAGTTTAGATTCAGGAAGAGCAGCTCTGGGACACTGCAACATTTAGTGGTCAAAGAATTGCAGAAAATGCAGTGAAGAAGATTGAGGAGATTCAGCCAATAAGGTTGGAGGAAAATCCAGAAGCCAAGTAGAAAAATACTTCAAGGAAAAGGGAGTGATCAATTGTGTCAAGTTCTCCCGAGAGAAATCAGGTAAACTAAACATTGAGAATTGACTACTGGATTTTGCAGCATAGAAGCCACTGGTAACTTTGACTAGAGAAGTTTCTACCTTGAGTTTTTATTTATTGTTTGCTTAACTTATTTTTTCTGAGAAGTAGAAATGTTCTACAATCTCCAATTTACTATTGTATTTGTGTCAATTTGTCCTAGTGTTTCCAATCAATTTTTCTTTATATATGTCAATGAAATATCATTTGGCTCATAAATTTTCCAAACAGTTTTATCTTACTTGAACTCTCCTCTTAACAGTAAAAGATTATTTTTCCTGTTAAATGCTTTATGTTGAATTCTACTTTATCTTACTGTGATCTCTAAGTTAATACTTCTTAGAATTACACCACAATCAGGCAAAGTCCACAGATGTTCCATCAAAATTGAAAGAAAAATATAAAGGACAAAGTAACTGAGTTAGAACTGAAAGCCCATTTTATTGATCTGAGCAAATGTTTTCTCCTGCAGCAGACGCCAAAGCATGAATGTGATTTTTAGATTTCTGTTCAAAGCTAATACAATAAACAGCCTCCCTACTGGTGGACTGATCTTTTTGTCACCACTTACTGACCTTGCCCCTCTCTACTCTTTCCCCTGCCCCTACTTCCCATCCTCCATATCTCATGAGTTATCTCCTTAAAAGCTAATCACTCTGCTTAGATATTACTCTGGTCCCCTGTTACCTATAAGACATCATCCAAACCCTTTGGAATAAAACCCATGAGAATCCACTCAATCCTATATAGCTTGAATGTCTTGCTTGATCTTCCATGTCTATAGCCTTCTTTCCCACCCTATACTCCCCTAAAATCATTCATCATCATTTGTCATAGGCCATGTTTTCCTCTTTCATGTGTTTGCCTTCTCCTTTACTTGAACGGATGAATGCCCACTCATCTTCTAAGATGCTTCTTAAATGTTTGTCTCTGCCAATGTGACTTTCCCCAGTCACAATTGGTCTCACCCACCCTTTGATTCTCTCAACATGTTGTTGCCTCTATAATGGCCATAATCTTGTTGCATTGCTCTTAGTTTCTTCCTTCTTTACTGGAGCAACTAGAGGACAATGACTGCACCCAGAACAGGACCTGGGACACAGTGAATGCTCAATAAATACAAAAAATAATAATATTTTTATTATTAGAACAAAAAATAATAATAATTGATGAAAATGTTAATTATATTCAATCAACTACAGTACAGTTAACATTTATGTTTTAAAAGGTTTATGAACAAGACTAAGAAAAAAGTAGATGTTAAATTTTGAGTAATATCATTCTTGATGGATCCTATAAAAACAATAATTTCTTTTCTCATCTCCAACTTATGTGTTAGAATACTTAAATGATCATTTAATGAACAATGTGCCCTAGAAGCACCAAAAAGTGCTTCACTTGGGAACATGTTTTTAGTTCACCACGTAATATAGCCTTCAAGGTTGTAAATCCATCCTTGAGGGGCTTTAATCTCCTACAATGACCAATATTCAGTACTTTGTGACCAGAATCTGCTTCAGACAATGGTATACAAAACTCTTTGAAGAAATTATTTATAAGTGTTCATAAATAAGCAGGCTAGGAAAAAAGAAACATTTGGAGACACTTTATTTTTATGATAAGGAAATTTCACATAAAAGTCTTCATCGTTTCTTTAATTCACAAAAAGCACAAATCAGTTAGAATTAAAGGGAAAAGTTCACACCAAACAATAAAGACTTTTGGTCTTTTCTCTTCCCCCTGTAACAAGAACAAAAATATAAGCACTAATTAAATTAATAGATGCAGGATGTAACTGGTTTTATTATTTTATATTATATATATACATATATTGGTTCTATATCAGATAAACTGATAGGACGCCCTTCTAATGACATTCTCTGAAGCCTCTGAAATAACCTTAAAGAATTTTGAGTTAGTTGAATCACTAATTTAACATTGTGGGCATTATTTTGTTCCAGGGTTTTTAAAGAAGTTTTTTTTTTTTTTACTGAATTGCATTTATTTTTAAGAAAAGTATTTAATGTTAGCTCTTAGGATGTATTTAACTATGGATCAATATTTGGGGAGAATCAACATTATAGTTAGCCTTATCTGAATTTTTTGTTACCTGAAGTAATTTAAACTCCCAAAGCAGCACGAGTTTTTGAAATCAGTGCTGGACCCTGCAAATTAAAAAGAATCATCAACAAGCTAGTGAATATATAAAAAAAAAAAGAAGCAGACTCACAGATATAGAGAACAAACTAGTGGCTACCAGTGGGGAGAGGGAAGGGGGGAGGGGTAATATAGAGGTAAGGGAGCAAGAGGTACAAACTATTAGGTATAAAATAAGCTACAAGGATATATTGTACAACAGAGAATGCAGGCCATATTTTATAACAACTATAAATGGAGTATAATCTTTAAAAATTTGTGAATCACTATATTATAGAGCTGTAACATATAATATTGTACACCCACTCTACTTCAATTAAAAAAAGAAATAAATAAAAATAAAATAAATCAGTCAACAAGAATCATCAGATAAAAAAGTAGACCACTGTGCCAGTTGTACAGTTAACTCTCCACTACCTATGGGTGAATTCATTGGTTTATAGATTAACCAAGTTAAAAATAAAGATATACAACTCTGATGTCAACAAGCTAGGACAATAGAAGGCAGAAGGAAAACAACTCCACTCTTTTCAACAGGAGGTATTGTTTTTCCTATACCAATCTCCCAACTTTTACAAAGCCTCATCCCATCTCTCCCCTTTCTCTACAAATCAGTCACAGAAATTAAAAGGTTTGCAGAGAAAATACTGCTATGCTACTATTTGTTAATGTTCTCTGCATGTAAATGAACGTGTTCTCAAAACAGAGGACATTAATCTTTTTGTATCATATTTATCAGAAATGGTTTACATAAAATCTATTTTATCAGTTTTGTTTTATCTTATTTCATTATCTGTGTCCCACCCCCTCCTACCAAAAACAGACACATACTAATAAGTACACACACTCAAACCCATGTAATTACATTATCTATTGAAAAACTCAACATTTCTAAATATTATCAAATAACAAAATATCTAAACTTCTACATCATGAGATAGTCAAATAAAATTGGCAAAAAGGCTGAATTATAGAATATCTTTTTAAAATATAGTGATGCTGTATTCAAATATATTTAGTAATACAAGCTAGAGGCTTACAAAATGTAGTCAATTTACAAATCCAGCTAAAATTGCTAAATAATTATATTAAGATAATACCTAATTACTACTCTGTTAATATTCAAAGGCTTGCTCCTGAGTTGAATATATTTCCTATAAATATTCCCCCAATATCCTATGTGCACAATTAATTTGCTATTAAATCCTTTTAATCCATTTAGCTCAATTGATAAATTTTAAGCCAGGAGCTGTCTAAATTATCAGCAGTTAATTATATATTCACTTTACAGTTTTCTCCACTAGAAAATAAATCAAAATTACTAATCCTCATAATACACTCTAAAATTACACTTCTCCTAATATTTAGTGAGAAAACTGTGATTATTTTTAAATATTATAAAGTCCTCCAATCTATTTCTAAATTAAATATTTCTGGCATTATTTTAAAATTATAAATTAGTGGGATACTCTTTTCATTATTCGCTACAAAAAATTCCATACCAAGTATTCTGAGTGTAAACATGAGCTGCACATACCTCTTCCTCAAAGCAGACTTCCTGCCCTTGGCCTTGGCAGCACTTTTCCAGGAGGCCAGAGAAATCTGCAATGACGGCCTCAAGTTGTTCCTCTGTGATTTGTGGCTTTTGCTTCACAAGGTTAATGAGAAACCTATGATTTAAAACAAAACAATATAAAAGAGAAGTCTGCTATGCAATGGTCTTTTTCTAAAGCCTTCCTAAGAGAGAACTTTCAGAGCTCTGGCAACCCTTACCCTAAACCCTCATTCCATTAACCCATCACCAGACTCACCACATATATCTTGGCTAATACTTTATTAGAAAGACTGAGGCGAGAAACATGCTAAATGTTCCATTGGTCTGGACTTGTGCAGGTTATAGATGAAACACTATTTCACAGTTCCACCTTACTTATATGTAGTGAAGTAGTCTTTTTCTTATTTGCCTAAAAAATTCTTTCCAGTTCTCTCTTCTAAAATATGTCTTATCCATACTCAAAGGCTCCAACTTCCAAACCCTTGTCATTCACATTATCACACCCCTAACCTGAGCACTGTCTGTCCTAATTGCCTGTAATACTCATTTGGTAATACATTCAGGCTGGAATTAATGTTGATCCAGGGAATAGGGGAGGCTTGCCAGGCGGCATTCTTACTGTACCTAGAAACATGCCTCAGATTGTGACAGAGAAAAAAGGGATGAACAAGTTTTCCAAAATGAAGGAAGACCTTTTACAAAGTATGGGAGTATGAAAATGCATGGGAATTTGGAGAACGTGAGTTACATTGACTTGCATTACTATCATCATTACAGAATGCCTCCCACAATGAACTGAAATGTGTATTCCACTTCATAACACCCATATTGCATGGTTGAATCAAATGTTATGATTATTCTCTTCAAAGAGTAAATAGTATGGAAAAAAATTCAAAAGTGTTTATTCATTGCTTGGAATGGAAGTACCCAAGACTTACTGCAAAGATATATCCTAATTACCTGAAATAGATTGCCCCTTTTCCCTCGATCCCAAGATGCATCACAACAATAGTTTAAAAGGAGACTATTGTTACAAACAGGAAATTATCTGCCCCAGTGAATTTTTCCAGACTAGAGGCTATGAAGACTCTGAGACAAGACTATTCTGAAAGTCACTTTAAGTGCTTTGGAGTAATAATTTTCTCCTGGTGAGCCCAAGGGTGTTGGGTGTGTGAAGTAGAAATCTCCACCACTATTTAGTGTTGTCAGTCTTCTCCATGCTAGCAAATACCCATTTCTTACTGTTGCTTCATTGTTTGCAGTGCTACACCCTGAGCTTGGCACAGATCCTTATGGAAGATGAACTTGTCATCAGAGAATGGCGGAGAAACGTATGTCTCATCCACCACCAAGCTGCTGAAACATGGCCTCCTGTTGGCGTATGAAGAGGTGCAGCACTGGCCAACCCCAGGGTTTACAGGAGTCTCTTCATGTCTGATACATAAAAGTCCAATAATAAGGTCAGCCTAATTAGGAGAATGAGAAAGAAGAAAGCAAGGAGAGGGAGCATCAGTCATAGAATTGATTCAGGAAAATTGTTGCAATAGTGTTTAATGTCCAGTAACTTATAATTAATTTACAGGAAAATTTGCTGTGTGTGTAGGGATCATATGCTGCCATATTGTAGATTCTTATTTACCCATTTGTTTGGGATAAACTTCAGCATTTAGTGACCAATATTCCGCAAGTGATGTGGAAGAGAGCCACTTCAGCTATTTGTGTCAGCGATTTAAAACACATTTTCAGTTACATACAGACTTCGGAAGGGGAAAAGTCTCTGAAATCAATACGTGGCCTACATTTTCCATGTATATTTAGTTGAGCTTTCCATTTTATTTTTGGGATTCAGAGAATCACTTTCTGAAGTAAGAAACCTAACCCTTTCACATATGTACATACATACATACATACAGCTAACATGTAGTTCTAATTGTAAAGAAATAAGATGTGTGTGTGTGTGTGTGTGTGTGTGTGAGTCTGTGTGTCCTTACGGCTTTCCTAATGTAGAATTGGCCTACCTTCCACACTTCAGAGATATTTCTTAAACGCCTAACAATAACTTGTAACAAGGGCCAACATATTTTGTGGGCATACTATGTATCAGGCTAGTACTGAGTGAGTCACACGGATTACCTCGTTTAAGACGGCCATCCTAACTTTATTCTCAAATGTCAGATGAAAAGTCTCAAGCTTAGTGAGATAACTAGCTTTCCCAGAGTGACAAGACTCACAAGTGGTGACAGTGGGCTGGGAATGTAGGCAGGAGGCCGCCAGAACCTATACTCCTGAACCATTACACCATCCTGTGCCCCTGCATCCTCCCAACATGTGGGATTCAATAAATGACAAAGATGATGCTTAATCACAGGAAAGTTTCTTTTCACTTCTAACCTTTGACAAAAAATTCCAGGACATGAAGACTGACTAGCAAATGACTCCTCATCATCAAAAAGAGGAAAAGTGAAAAAAAAAAAAAGATACACAATTTTATTCACAATTGTGACTTCAAGGGAAAAAATAATAAAAAAAATTCAACCTGTAATCATATGTATGACATTAAGAAGTAAAGATTATTGGCATTACCAACCGGAAAGTCATTTTACTATTCAGAATGTGGGACCTACCTGTTCTGTATGCTGCACGCTGTCAAGGGGAATAAATTGTCCCTAATATCATCATAAAAAATTAAACTATAAAAGACAAAAACATAGGTATGGCTAAAAACAAAATAGCATATTTTAATCTGTCAAAGTTGAAGCTTTTTCTGTTTTAATATTAAAGTAGGTATTTGGTGAAATTATGAACTGAGTGATGTGTCAGTCTTTCTGTCTCCCCTGTACATAAAGCTTGCTTGTTTGTTGAATAGACTCACTGCACTTCTACCAGCCATTCTAGAAGGACAGGAAGCTTGCCCACATGCCAACCATTCAGAGCTGGGTTCTTACACCCCTTCAACTGCAAGTAATCCAACAAGTCCAGGAAAGCCATCTCCACATTGGTTTTTCCCATTTCCCCTAAATGGGAATTATAAGGCTATTTCAAGCCCAACAGGGCAGAAACAGGATGGGACTAAACAAAACACTCACCGCTCCCTCACCACAGGCCAATTGTTTGTCCTCACTGAGATGGCAACAAGTGGCTCCCGTGGTCGCCATTTTCCTGGTCAAGGTCATCAGCTCAGCTGGGGTCAGCTGAGGGGCCTTCTTGGTGTAAGCAACAAGAAACCTGAAAGAAGTATTTTTCACCAAATCTTGCTGAGTCCTTCAGGAGTCTCTGGACTCTCATTCCTTCTCAAAGACCCTCTTTTGGCATCAGGGGACATGAAATTAGCTCATTTGTTTCACCCACATGGTACCTGGACCGACGCTGGAGGTGCATTTACTCTGATAAGCATTCCCTACCCTCTTCTTACACCAACAGATCACAACGGGAAAATAAACGCTGGGCAGCAGGCTGACTCCTATTCCCAACCTCAGAAGTTTCCTCGATATGCACTTTGATCTTTTGGCGCTTTAACTACGACAGGCTATGATACAATGGGTATCTTTACTGCAAAACTCTGCACGGTTTGGGGAACCCAAAGCCAGTACCACAGATGAGGCTTCACAGGCCATCTGTTGCTCCTAAAGAGGGAGAACTGGGGAAGGCCACCTTCTGGAACTGGAAACTGGGTGATCAGATTACAAGACCTCCAGTCCAACATAGGGGCTGGAATTAGGGTAGCCATGGGTGATTAATTTAGATGGGTCTTTCCCTCACTAGTTAATGATCTTAAATCACTCAAAATACTGTTTAAAAAAGCATACGCATTTTGTAAGTAATATTCTCCTAATTTCTGGAAGAGGCCGCAGCTTCGCTTTGCCAGCGCTTGGCTCTCCTGGATATATTTCTCTAACTCTTCTTCCTGAAAATACAAGCGTTATTACATACATTTTTTTCTCTTTCTTCACACATAACTTTGTATGTAAAAATTGGCCAGTAATAGTTTATTCTATTTTGATACCAATCTTAGAGAAACCACTTTTAGAGGGTTTTTTAATATTAAAGATGAATTGTGAGAATTAAGGCAAATGAACTTTAGGGAGAATAAGTTTAAAACTTTGTGAATCACCAAGTTATTTGATGGCAGAACTCAAACTTTGGGTAAAAAGTTACAATTCTTTCTGTACAAGATTCTTGCCTTTCTGGAGTGGAGCTATTCAAAAATGAATATTATTTTTATTCTGTGCATCAAAGAACTTTTGGTTAAAACATTCTTATTTCTAAAATAAGCCAATAGTTGTTGACTACTAGTTAATCACTACTTAACAGCTAGATAGCTAGTTAGTAGATATAACTAACTAACTGCTCATTAGTAATTAGATGCTTTCAAACAAACAGCACTTTTAATGCATGATATCCATCTAGTTTTCCAGATTTTCCTTAAAAAGCTAGAGCATTTTACCCCTTTATCCTGGCATTCAGGAGGGTTTCCAGACTGTGAACATTTCTCCAATAACTCCTGATATCCTCTAGCAACTCTTAGAATTATTGGGACAGCAAGCTTAGTATGTCTTCTTGAATATTCATAAGTAAATCTGAAATATGGGTGAAAAAAATCATGTTATGGGAATTAAGAGACAAATTATTCCTGTGTTATATGGCATGCAGAAGTTAAAATGCAAATAAATAAACCTAGAAATCAAATATTATTTCAACTATACGCATGGCAAAGCTATTAATAAAAATTATAATCCCTCAAATTGTTCTAAAACGGTATTTTGTTTTCTTTTGCACTATTCACTTTCAATAATGGACGTGAAATCTATCCATACAACAAATATTTTTCCACTGCCAAGTCTGTGCAAACAATTTCTTTAAGCAGTATGGATTCAATAATGTATAAGATAAAATGTCTGACCTCTCAAAAGCAGGCATTATAGGGAGACAGAAACCAATAAGAAATAAGTCATCCAATCTTAGGTAGCGATAAATCAATGAAGAGAAATAAACCAAGGTAGACAAGAAGGAAAGGGGTGACAATTTAGAGTGTGTGGTCAAGAAAAGTCTCTTTGAGTAGCTCTTTCAGGAGAAAAACCTGGGTGAAGGAAGCCACACAAAGTGTCTGGGGGAAGATCATTCTCGGCTGAGAAAATTTCTACTGCAAAGAACCTTTCCAATTGAAGAACTGCTTCTATTAAATAAACAATTAGCTTCAGAATGTATGAATGGGTAAATTTAAAGAGAATTCTTGACTTTATTAATTGTATTCCCAGGTTGTAGAAATAGGTCATATTAGTTCTTCCTCCAATAATGTCAGTACGGGTTTCTGAAATCTGGACTTTGTTCTTGTTTGCATAATTTAATTTAGCGGTGCAAACAATGTGTGCATGTCTAATTTTAATCAACAATAGAGTAATATCCTCCAGGAATATTAAAAAGAAAATTGCACCATTCTTTTCATTACTACATTAAAAGCAGACTCAGATTTAGAAGGACCTTTGGAGATCATTAAGTATAGTGTCCTACGAGCTGCACAAATCCCTCCTCTAATAGTGTCCACTGGTACACACTGTACAATAAAGGAAAATGTGTGAACTGCTTGCTCCCCTTAAAGGCAAATAGAATGAGAACATGTCTTGTCAGTTACAACTACCATACTGCAAATGTCTCTAAATGTGTTTTTACTTCCTTAAAAAAATAAAACCTGTATTCAATAAATAGCAAATAAACTGCTACAATGAAAGCCCTTCTATCTACCATTATCTATTAAGTTATATTTGGGGGAAAAAGTTTTTAAAACATGCACAGTGAAAAAGCACATTCTTAATTATGAGCCCTTCTTATTACAAAAATATCCATATCCTATTCGGAAGTCCAATGGTGGTCTTTACATGAGTAATCCATACAGGGGTGACAATGCTTCTGATGCCAGAGAAACTGATACAAAACAAAATGCATCCTCATAAGCAAGCCAGTTAATAACAGCAGTGGTGAAAGTCTCATCAGTATAAGATAGACCCTATTCCTTATTTCCTAGTTATTTCCTCCTAACTATATTTTGGCTTAGAACATTCTAACATTATCCTCATATACTGAGTTCAGAAACCATTTCAACAACACAAAGCTGTCAGTCACATCATAATTTTTACTTGTGTGAACAGACATGTACAGAGTGTGTTACCTTGCCATGTAGAGATCTTTTTCCCTTGAAGAAAGTTGGTTGAAATCTGTCTCTCCTAAAAACCTATTTAGAGTTGGAGATAAGCCTTCAGGTTTGTCATCATTTTCTGCATGAATTATGCAATGACCAAGTTCAAGTGCGGTGGGTAATTTGCAGCATTCTGCTATTTTGCTTGACAGAATATCTTGCTGAGAACATATGTAGGACATAATTTTTTCCTGTAATAGAAAAATAAAGTCTAAGTTTTAAACATTTATTCTTTAATTCAGGACCTCGTGGCCAGTCCTAGGAAGGAAAGAAGGAAGGAAGAAGACATTTACCTTGTCTCCCATTTTAGTGCTTTCTCCCTACTCTACCTTTCCTCACTCCTTTCCACCTAGCCTTGTTTGTTCAACTCTTCTTTTCATAGTTGTCAGTAAAATCTACTATTTTATTCTAATAGCAAGCTTTTAAAAACAAAAGACAAATGTACTCCTCAAACGAAATGACATGCACGTTGATGCATATCTTTCTATTAGTACTGAAATTTGGTAGTAAACATTTGCTGTTTATATAACCCTGCAGTAACCGATTATGACCTCCAGAGGGCAGTCTATAGACAATGAAATGCACGTAAGTGGCCAGAAAGAAGCCGAGCTTACACGTAACTGTCAAAGGACTGAAAATTCTGTGCATTCTCACCAGAAACAATTAGAACCCATTATTCAGCCATTAAAATCCAACTTAGATACCATACTTTTAATTTTTTTTTTCACTTTAATGGAAAAGGGTGGTTTGAAGTCCAAACATTGAAAAAACTAAACTTTAAAAAATGAGTATACGAATTAGTAAAATAGTCAACTGAAACTGATACAACTCACATCAAAGAAAAATAAATCATTCTTATTACCATTCCTAATATGAAGGTAAATGCTTCTAAAAGGAAAAATAAACGATATAGGAAAATTTGTCTTGGAGGCAGCCCCAACTACTGACAACAAGATTCTCTGCCTGGGCCCAAAGACTCACCCTCAGGTCTCCCCTACAGCCTTGGCTTCTTGCTGGTTTTCAAGTGTATCTCAGCCAAAGTGCCGTGGACTGGCTGAAAGGAGCATTCTATCCTCACTTTCAACCTTCTGGAACCATATTCCAGCCCTGGTTTCAAGCCACCGAAATATCTAGGAAACCATATTCCAGCCCTGGTTTCAAGCCACCAAAATATCTAGGAGCAATGATTCTAAGCCTCCTTGAAGAAGAAGGTGTATCACAGGGAACCAGAGAGGGAATAATTTGGGGATAGACAGGCCTCCAACATCTAGGAAGCCTAGGGTGGCCTGAAATAGACCAATGCCACACTGCTTAAATCGCAACTGACTATGGCATGCTTGAGGATTCTGTTTTGGGGGTATTTGTTTTTGGTTTTTAATTCCCCTAGAGCCCTTATTCACACCTCTCCATGATGGCTAGCTTTTTACTGTATAGAACAATAGCTTGTGTTATTTTTTATGTTTCTTTTATTATTTTGTTGTATTCATATAATAGCTCTATGTATATGATATAGAGTGCCTTCCATGTGCCGGGCATGGCGCTGATGGCCTATCGAAATAACAGTAAACCAAAGACAGTCTCTAACCCCAATGAGGTCACATGTCTTATCTCTCTTATCAAACTATACATTTCTTAAAACCAGCTTGTGCCTTCCTAACAGGTATGCCCCACAGTGGCTAGCACATAGAAAGTATTCAATATATATTTATCAAATGAAAGCACAAATGGGTGAAAAAACAAATATATTAAAAATAGAGTTTTCCCCAAAAAATTCTGTGTGGAGACCTCCAGAGAGGTTACCATCTCCTTTAGAAGTAAGAATGAATGGGCACTGGTCTAGGAAGAGGGGCGCATCCCTTAAGGGAAAAGCAGAGTCAACAAAAGAGATTCAAGTTTTACTGTTAAGAAGTCTGTAACTTCACTCAGTCAGCTAGTTTCCACATTCTATGACCAACTCATGGCAGACACCCTTCTCCCATTTAGAATGAGAGCAAAAGAAAGAAAAGGGAGTGGGAATATCTCTTTTATAGGAGGCAAGACTCTTCACCCCATCCTGCAGACACTCCAGCACATTTCCTCTGCAGCATTCCTCGTGTACGTGGGCCACATCCACGACCAGTCTCTGAATTTCAGTAAAATTAGCTTTGGGAAACTTTTGACTCAGTTTAGTAACAGTTCTAAGGGGAAAAAAAGAATTAGAATCAATTTTGGTTATCTATCAAAATTAAATAACGACAGGAATAAAGACGCAGACACAGGGAATGGACTTGTGGACGTGGGAGGGGGAAGGGTAAGCTGGGACGAAGTGAGAGAGTGGCATGGACATATATACACTACCAAATGTAAAATAGATAGCTAGTGGGAAGCAGCCGCATAGCACAGGGAGATCAGTTCTGTGCTTTGTGACCACCTAGAGGGGTGGGATAGGGAGAGTGGGAGGGAAACGCAAGAGGGAGGAAATATGGGGATATATGTATATGTATAGCTGATTCATTTTGTTATACAGCAGAAGCTAACACAACATTGTAAAGCAATTATACTCCACAATAAAGATGTTTAAAAAACTTAAATAACATTTATAGAGTATTAGTATAGCTCCAAGGATAAAAGACCAATATGTTCTCGTTTAAAAAGAAAAGGAAAAGTGTTATGTCTTGTTAATTCTAGCCCAGTCTTTCAAGGCAGTGGCTCTATAAACTGTGATCTGGCCCTACAAAAGGTTTAGAAGTGATTTATCTTTTCCTAAAACCTTTCCTGTGAATTTTAATGATATCTATCTTTTTGCTGTTCAACCCTGATGCTGAGTATTGGGGATCATTGCTGTGAGAGGGTGGGAAAAAATTAAAAAGGATAAACAATTAAGAAATGGAAAATTCTATGAGAACGATAATCATTCTTTTACTTGGGAGAAAAAATTACTCCTTAGACTATAGGGAAGGATGCATATGTGCATATCAATGGGACAAGAAAGTGGAGCAGACTAAGCACTCAAATGTGTCATCATGCCAAGACATGTAGTGTGACCCAAAAAGGAGGTAAGAAACAAAAATTCTTATTTCTTCTGCATAGTTCATATAAATTTTAAGAGATGTCTTGGTGAGACCACTGTGGCCTAGAGCAACTGGTATTGTTGCTGCTACTGATAAAGATGGATTTTCTTTTTAAATTGAGAACATTTAAATTTAACTACTTATGGATAGCAAATGATAAATAATGTCATTATAATAAAATCTTAACTTACATTGTATTACTAAGGTAAATTTAACTAAAGCAAATCATGAATCAATCTTTAAGTTTCTAATAGAGTTGGAGGGTGAGTAAAGCATAATCTGACCTCTTCCAAGAAGAATCAGTCAGTCTTGGAACTAAATCCATGACTAAAAACTTTAATCTGTCTTCACTATGTACAATATTTTTAAATGTGTCATTTAACAAGCAAACAAATAAATAAACTTTAAATGCATGCACTTAATACTCTTCAATTAGCAGGTCAGATGTTTTTCTAGGCTAGAAATGTTTCAGCATAAAAGTTGAAGAGTACTTTAATTACAGTTATGTAATTTAAAATTTCCTAGTAGCCATATTAAAATGTAAAAAGGAACAGGTTAAACTTACTTTAATATATGTTTTTTAACCCAATATATCAAAAATAATATCATTTCAATATGTAATCAACATTAAAACTTTTTTTTAACCATTTTTTATTGAAGTATAGTTAATTTACAGTGTTGTGTTAGTTTCAGGTGTGCAGCAAAGTGATTCAGTTATATATATATATATATATATATCTGAATATATATATTCTTTTTCAGATTCTTTTCCATTATAGGTTATTACAAGATACTGAATATAGTTTCCTGTGTTATACAGTAGGTCCTTGTTGTTTATAACATTCAAACCTATTAATGAGATATTGTACATTTTCTTTTTCATACTAAGTCTTTGAAATCAGGTTTTACACTTAGAACACAGTTCCTCATTTGCACTAGCCACATTTCAAATGCTCAGGAGCTTCGTGTGGCTAGTAGCTGCCATACTGGCTAGTGGGGCTCTAAACCACTGGTAATTCTGATTCCTATGCTTGACCTCAAAGTCTCAGTTGTCAGGACACAGACAATTAGAGATCACTGACATAGCAGACAAGTAGGTGTAAGGGAAATAAATGATGACAAGGATCACCAGCTGTATAAAAATAAATAAATAAAATAAAATGAAAAAAAAAATGAAAGAAAAATCATGAAAAGGATCTAGAAAAACTTTGTTCTGATGACCAGTAGTGTGGTCTTGGGTAAACTGTTTTAATCTGTCTGGACCTCGGGTTACTCATGTGTAAAAATGAAGAGGTTGAACTACCTGATTCAATTGTTTGGGCTTTTTTTTTTTTTTTTTTTTTACGGTGTGCGGGCCTCTCACTGCCGTGGCCTCTCCCGTTGCGGAGCACAGGCTCCGGACGCCCAGGCCCAGCGGCCACGGCTCACGGGTCCGGCCGCTCCGCGGCACGCGGGATCCTCCCGGACCGGGGCACGAACCCGCGTCCCCCGCATCGGCAGGCGGACTCTCAACCACTGCGCCACCAGGGAAGCCCTGGGCTTTTTTTTTTAATATTCCTCTCATCCTAACAACAAAGATAGATAGATGAGATAGGGATAAATTAGATAGATGAAAGATAGATAGATGATAGATTAGATAGATAGATAGATAGATAGAATCAAGGGAAAAGAGAAAAGGCAAATATGCTAAGTGTAAGAGTTAATGCAGTCAGTTGAAAAACTCCAAATTTGCCTCTGAGCTTTTTAGCAGCTGGGACAAGAAAACAGACTTCAGTGAGTTACATGCTTTCAGCAGTTCGGAAAATACATGCCAGTTCTTCAGAAATGACTATTTTGTTTTCCTCTGGACAATGGATTCTAATATTATTGCCTCAAGTGAATATTTTCATAAAAAGCAACAATTGACACAATGGACTTTTATAGGAAGATTAGGAAGCAGAGTTAATGTAAAGAATTTCTTGTTAAGCCAGAAATTTTAAATGATACTTAGAGAAGGCTAATCTACCTTGTAGAGAATCTAGGAAAATGTGGTATATCTGCTTAAGATCATTCCATCAACTTAAAAAAAAACAGTTTAATAACATCTGGAGATCATAGATCAAAACCATTGTGTCGGGTACTGGGAAGAAAGCAAACTTGTTACAAGAACCTTAAAATCTCTTACAGATATAAAGCATACAAACAAGCACAAATGAAAAGAGAAACAACTGGAATTTTTGAGCACTTCTTTTAGACTATAACACACATCAAAAAGCATATATCTCAATGAACTAATGCATAAAAAATAATAAACGGTAATACTTCTCTAAAAAAAAAAAGTGTAGTATAATTATGAGGTGTAAATTGATTGCAGTCCAGAACTTGAGTATCTAGAAGAATAGGTAAAAAGCATAAATCTCCAAAGTCTTCTCAAGTGTTATCTCATGTAGACTTTAATAAGTGTTAAACAGCAGACTGATCTGTTCCTCCCAATCCTAGGATTTCATGATTCTAATCACATTAGCTGTCATCAAAGGAGACTTCATTCTCTACAACAGTAACAATGTGAAAAATGGACTCAAACTGCAAAATGGGAGTTTTGCAGATCTCACCTTCTTCCCTAGATAGAGCTTAAACTTACATGGCTCGGAAGGTTCGGGGTCCAAACTTTCTCATTACTGCACAGATATGTTGATTTAACAAGCTGCTTTCTCTTAATTCTTTTGTAATTGATGCTGCCTAGATAGAAAAATGAGGTGTCAAGAAAGGATGTATTTTCCCTTATAGGCTCTAATAATTAGAAAAACAACAGATACAACTAAAACATGAAACTCTAAAAATTTTTGCTAAAACTTATAAATGCAATATATCTTTGCAGAACTTTATTCATTCTTTCTTTTAGATGGGTTTATATACATCTATGCCAGGTAGAATTATTAAAAATATCTTGAGGACTTCCCTGGTGGCGCAGTGGTTGAGAGTCCACCTGCCGATGCAGGGGACATGGGTTCGTGCCCCGGTCTGGGAAGATCCCACATGCCGCGGAGCGGCTAGGCCCGTGAGCCATGGCCGCTGAGCTTGCGCGTCCGGAGCCTGTGCTCCGCAACGGGAGAGGCCACAACAGTGAGAGGCCCGCGTACCGCAAAAAAAAAAAAAAAAAAAAAAAAAAAATCTTGAAACAGAAACACTTGTAACTTTCATACTTGAGATAATGAATAAACAACTGTAATTTTGAACAAATCGAAGCCTGATAATTTCTTAAATGTCTTCTCAGTAACAAAACGTAAGATTGCATCACAGCCTGACATTCTGGGAATAGTCACAGTTCTTAGGAATTTTGTTATAGGACTTCAGGCAGCAAGTAATTCATCGTGGATGTTGTCCTAGCTCTCCAAAACCTAAGAAAACTATTTGCATCTCTAAACCTAAGTTTCCTTGTTTGTTAAATGACAATAACACTTACACCTCAAATTTGTTCTAAGGTTTAAAAGAAATAATAAATATAAAGCACTTATCATACTTCTCGTTCACCTTTTTTCTTTTCTGCTCTTTTTCCTTCTGCCCCATCTTCTTTCACTTGCTTCCTTCACCTCTTACTCTGTTCTCTTTCATTTATGTTATCACCTCTACCTCTGTCTTTATCGCACCAAACTCATTTCCTTAATAATAAAATGATTGTTGGCTGAATGAATGGATAAAGGAATGAATAAAAAAAGAGCAAACCCAGGGTTTTTACCCAAAGAATAACAGAGTGCTGAAATATGCTCTATTCTGAAAATGATACTCTGCCCACAAAGCATATTTCCATTTTTAACTTTGTTTGGTTTTAGTAAGTCATAGCCAGATTGAAGGTATTAGTTCAGATAGCCACACAAATACAACACCTTTGTTTGGAAGCATTCAACTGCATTTTCGGCTTTGCAGCAAGGTGGAATTACTTTGTCATATTGAGCAGCCAAAGAAAGAATTGTAGGTGCATATAGGAAGGGGTGCCTTCTTGCTATCTCATAGACGTATCTGTGAAATGAAAAGGATCAGTAAGATTTACAAACACATTAAAATAGGACTGCTACTGCTTGGAACTGGACTCTGGAATTGTTTAAAGATTCAGAAAATAGTCATATTGTTTTCCACTTGCTGTCAAAATTTTCCTCACTAAAGATCCTCCAAGAAAAGGAAAAATCTATTATGAGATTATAAGAGTAAACTAGGCAAAAACACTGACTATGATTCTTATGAAAGTATCCTTTTCAATAAGCCTACACAGATATGTTTCAGAGGTCAACAAGGCCAGACTTCCACTAAGTAAAAGAGAAAGGTGGAGTCTTTTTTCTCATCAGTGCAGAACGAGATTATCCACCCTGGCAGTCAACATAGCAGAGACGTTCTAAGGGCAACCTCTATATTTCTCTGGATTAGGCAGCAACGTGGAAGGTAGAAGTGATTAAGAGTTAAACACAGGCTTCCCCAACAGAGAACCTGGGTTCAAATCCCAGCTTGGGAATGTACTAGTGGTCTGCCCTCAACCAATTGTCTTAGCCATCTAAGCTTCAATTTCTTCATCTGCAAAGTAGGAAGAAGAAAGGGAATGAAGAGAAAGACGACAAGGAGATGATAGGCTGTTTGTGAGCATTAATATGCTCATACGTGCCAGGCACACATGTTCCTAAAACATCCTAAATGCTCAATAAATGTTAGACATGCTTATGTACCTTAAACATTCCTGGATCGCTAACATTTTCTATTTTCAGGCAATTTGGTGAACACAAAACACCAAATATTTGGCTCTAGAAGGAGTCATTTTGTGCCACACTGATATATTCTTGGGCAAGCTAAAATTAGAGAGAAAAAACAAGGTGTATCTAAGAGACTAAAGGAAAAACTGGTGGGTCTCCTGTGTGGTCTATACCCATCTATCTACGTGCTGTGGAGACAAAGTTACACTTAATGTTTCTCACCTAATCTCGTAGGTCAGGAGCTCAGCAGATGCCACACCAAACATTATTTCTCCATGTTTTAGAATACAGCCACAAATTGCAGAATTTGTAGACTCTGCTCGGTACTGCACTCTTTCTGGGGTCTTATCTACCTTTAAAATCGGATCCTTACCGGTTCATAAATAGCTCCCTGTCTTCTTCATATGCTTTACAACTTGTGACAGGTTCTGGAACTTGGAAAGGTGGGATGGATGCTGGAACGGCCTTTTTGTGTGCTAGGAAACAGTCATGTCTTTCCTCTCCACTTTGGCTGCAGCAGTCTGAAAGCCCATACTTTCCAGGAATTTCCTTTTCATGGCAAATTTCTTCCAGAAAGGCAGATACCTGTAAGATTTATTTTTAATGAAAGACAACTAACTTTACCTAAAAATGCTGTAAAACACATGAAAAGTTTTCTAATATTTAAAGTCAGAACGGTAGATTAGGAAAATAATTCCCCCTACAAATTCCAATATATTTAGTTTCAGCCTGATGGGATAGCTTTCTTTTATGTGTTTGGAAAACGGAATTTAGTTTTCAACCTTAAATAATACACATGCCTATTAGACAAAATTATTTTCTCTTAAAAGGAGGACATAGATGCTCCATCTGGCATTCTTATTATGAGACACTAATATAAAATTGGATATTATTTTCACATAAAAATCAAAATATATTGAAACTGAATAAAAATAGCTTCAAATACTTTTAATGGGTCTAATTATAGATTTAGCTAAAATGTTTTAGGGAATTCCCTGGCAGTCCAGTTGTTAGGACTTGGAGTTTTCATTGCTGTGGCCTGGGTTCAATCCCTGGTTGGGGAACTAAGATCAAAAAAAAAGAGAGAGTTTTAAAATGTACATTGTAAATGCTTAAAATCTTTCTTGTTTGCCTTAGCTTTACCAAAATCAGGTGATGACACCACTAGTCTGATGAATGCCTCTGAGGAATACGTGTGTTTCATTCATCTCAGGAAACTTTTAATTTAGCTTTTATAACTGCTAATATTTAGAGAATCCTGGAAATCTTAACTAAGACTTCCAGTTCCCAATCCACCTAAAAAATCATGCCTTTAAGTTTACAATGGTAAATCACTAATCTGTAACATCACCTTGGATGTCTCATTGGATGTAAAGTTGCAATATAAAATATATTTTGCTTATTTCACATGTCAAGCTAAAAATAGAGATGCCTATAAGGGATTTTTATTTAAGTCATCAATTTCAGAGTTGTAAAGTACTTTATATCTTTAAAAGGGCGTCTCCTTTGCAATATTGCAGATACATCATTTTTTGGCTACTTCACGAGCTCCATCATGACAGAGGATTCTCTGGGCATTTTGTCCCAGAACTGGTAGCTCTAATCATTTTAAAGTTCTTAATTCTTTTCTATATTGAGATAATAATAAACACTAATAACTGTTATTTATTAATCTGTTACATTAGGATATCCTATAATAAAAAAAGTAGTCACTGTTTATCTGAAATTCAAATTTAAGAGGGCTTCATATTTTGTTGTCGTTTGTTTGTTAAATCCGTCAACCCTAATCTATGCTATGCACCTCACATTCACTAGTGTATAGTATAATGAAGTCACTAAGGGTGTTAGTTCTGGAGCCAGATGACATAATTTAAATCCTGGTTCTGGACTCCCTTAAGAAAGTTGTTTAACCTCTCTGTGTCTCATCTTCTCCAACTGGAATATTAGCATCTATCTCCTAGGATTATGATAAAGATTTAATAAATTAATATTTGCAAGCAAAGCTGATATTCTACCAATGAGCCCCAGCCAGGGTCTCTTGGCTCACTGGACATTGATTCTGATTCATCAATGCTATGCTCCATGTCACAAAGTATTTTGATTATCAATGGATATGTAACAGTCCTGAGAATAATGCCTGTCACATTGTGTGCTTAATAAAAATTAACCCCTGCTACCATTATCATATCAATCTCCATGACAACCCAGAAATGGAAGCTATTATTATTCCTCACTTTATATATAAGGAAACTAAATCTCAATGAAGTTAAGTAATACGCCCATGGTCACCCAGATACTCTGATTTCAGAACCTTAGCTCTTAGTCACCATGCTTATATTGTCTCTTTACAATAGACACCCACTGTTTTCTCCTCTGCTCTCTCCAGCAAATTAGAATTAACCTAAACCTCCTTTCATAAAACAGGTCTTGAGATATTTAAATGTATTTATTTCTTATGCAGTCCCTGCATCTTCTCTTCTGCATGCTGAGTTTTGGTCAAATATCACAGTGCTTTTTAAAAAAATTATTATTATTCACTCACCTGGTTTTCTAAACACCCTGCAGGCTGCTCACTGCCAGTGGATTTCTCTATTACAGTCAATACATCTTTCACCATTTGACTTACTTCCTTGTAAGTGGCCTCTTGAACAAACTGGGCAAAAAATATGGTAGCTCTGAAACAAAAATACATATGAATGCTTAAGGAACAGACATATCAATCTTTTTCTCAAGGTTAGTTTTTGTTTGTTTTTATTGTCTGTTATGTTGTGACCTGTTTAGGGGATGACTTTTGCTAAAAAAGTATGTGAAATTTTAGCCGTCCAGGAAGAAATGTCTGTCTTCTTGTCCCCTTCCCCCATAAATATACATATATCTGTTAACAATGAAAATAAGTGGATTTCCCCTAAGAGTGGTTCCTCCTTTTGTGGTCATCCACCCACTGCAATGTCTCCATAATTGAAGGTATTTATATCCTTTGTAGTTTTTTGTTTTTTGTTTTTTTTAAGCAAAGAATTGGTCATTAGACCTCTACCTGTGTCTACTACCAGCATGATCAAGGTCTGATCATGGATTGACCCAAAGCAATGCTTCTGCAGGTTTCTGTGTGCAACCAGTATCTGTAACACACGACTTTAAATTCCTTATTAGAAACTTCAGAAGTGTGGGACAGAAAGATATCATTCAAGAGAACAACATACCTTCTACAAATAACCAAAAATAGAACATTTTACCTCCAACTATTTGCTACTAGAATTAAATAGTATTCAGAATAGAGAATATGGTAATGTCATCCTATTGGTATTGATGAGAAAAATTCCTGAATTCATACATAGTTGCCATCAATCAGACATTATTCTTCAGTTTCTAAAATCTGATTTTGTTTGTCCCATCTCTTTACAAGGAATCTAGAGTTTGGGGTTAACATCTAAGGCATGGAGTAACAGTCCAACTTCTTCAATATCAATTTGATATTCAACATAAATAACTTTTCTTAGCATTGTCTAGTTTGCTTTCACACTTTTAAAAACTCATAGGGCTATGCAACTTTATTCAATTACCTAACTAAAATTTTCATTGCTTTGCATATTTAAAGTGCATTTATACAAGCAAAACTTACAGGTCAACTAAATTCATCTCTGCAGAGCATGGGGAAGAATCCAATATGGAAGCTGGAAAGCAAGATAAACTTCATGAGAAATGATATTTTCAACTGCAATCAGGAAAGTAATCGTTGTTAGATGTAAATGTTTGTGTCTAAGTTAAAACTATACAATTTTAGAACTGAGAGGACATTAGGAATCATGTATCCAAGCATCTTAATTTTGTACTTGAGAAAACTAAGAAACTAAGGAATAAAGTTAATGAGAATAATTTATAGTAGACTTAACACTAACATTCAGATTTTATATCTTCCAATTTCTTGGAACCATTGAACCATTCACAGGTAACGTTAAGCACTGCCATGATTTTGTAAAACTCTTGTACTCTTATAAATACACAAGTTTATCATTCATTTAATGATATTCACCAATTAAATACTTTTCCTCTGTGTCGAACAGTAAGTATGATAAATAAATCAAGGCAAATGAATAAAAGCAAATTTAAGAATTTCCATATAGGAAAAAGACAAGAGAAAAGCACAAAATATCTTACCTATTCCATATGCATTTTTTTGCATTGTTCTGGATTCAGTAAAATTTAGTAGAAAAATTAAAAAAATTGATACCTCCCACTTCATGGTTGCTAGCTATTTCGTTGTTGGTGATGATGATGGGGACAGAATATTGAAAATCATGCTGAAATTCTTTTATAGTCTTCTCTAGCAATGCCTGTTAACTAGTAATCTTCTGTTGGTATATCTGTTACTTTATTTCCTTATGTTCCAAATGGGATGACTTGCTAATAATTAACAGCACAGGGATTATTTGTGTTTTATGTTCAAGGACACAGACCTCTTTTGGGTGGAAAAAGGGGGAAAAACTTGCAAATTCATTCCATTTTGCAAATATAACAAATATTCCTCTCAAACTACAGAGTATTCAAGGAGGTGACTTTTCCCTAAATTGCACAACAGAAGTTAACAGGGCCATAGACAAAAGACGTCAGACTTTGTATGAAATTCAACTAAATGCACTAACTCATTACTGCCATATTATCAGTAGGGCAGTACAGTGTCATGGTGCAACATGAGGGCTTGGGGACCAGGGTTGAATTTTTGCCCTACCACTTATTAGCTACATAACTTTGGATGAGTTGTTTAATTTTTCTGAACTTTATTTTCATCATCTATAAAATAATGAGAGTGAAAGAATTCTTTCATGATTAAATAAATTAATGAGTTGAAATGGCTAAGAATAGGGCCTTTTGCAGAATGGCACTTAATAGATGGGAGTTTTATTTATTCACTCAACAAAAAGAGGAAGTCTGCATACCAGGCACTGTTCTTTGATGGAAATAATCAGCAACAAGAAACAGGTACCACCCCTGTTCTCACTGAGTTTACGATATAACAGGAGAGACAGACAGTTATTATCAGCAATCACAACACGGTGTGATAGATGCAGTGATAAGTAGAGTAAGAAGAGGAACACCTGACATTTTTGGAGGGAGTCAGGGTAGGCTTCCTGGAGGAAGCAACCTCTTAGTGGGGACCAGTAGAAAAACTGAAGGTGGGCCAAACAAAGAGGGAGGGAAGTGTCCAAAGCAAATTTAGAAAGCCGTGGAAAGGCCCACTAGTGAGGGCCAGCACAGTGTATTTAAGGAACTGGAAGAAATGCAACTGCAATCAGATACAAAGTTTAAAGATGAGGAAACTTACTCTATAAAGGGAATTTCTGGCAAAGTGAGCGGGGCCACATCTCAAAGACCTTTTAAATCAAGTTTACACTTCATCCTAAAATAACAGAGACTACAAAAGGGTGCTAATAAAAATCACATTTGTGCTTTGAAACCATCTCTTTGTTATAAAAGGAGACAAGATTGTGATAAGGAGAACTGTTAGGAAGTTTTTAGAATAATATGGTCCAGTAAGTGCCCTGGATGAGGGTAGTGCTAACAGGAATGAGAGTTGTGGATGAATGTAAGTGATATGAATGAGTTAAAACCAAAAGGACGTACTTACTGAATGTGTGTTTAGTTTTGCATATATCGAAGCTTAAGGCAGAGTGACCAGTCCACTCTGGTTTATGCCTGTTAACTTAGTGTAATTATTAAGCAGAACACCCTGGTTTGCAAGTTTGAAGTAAGACCTCCACTAGAGAAGCTGATGGGCCGTTGAATAGTACTTCTTAACCTCTGCAACAAGATCAAAGCTGGAGATGGAGATTCAGGAATCATCAGCTTTTAGATAGTTATTATAGCCATGTGATGGGATGAGAAAGAGAGATGGTAGTGAAAAGAGGTACCCTGAGGAACACCCAGTTTTAAAAGACAAGCAATAAAGAGGAGCTGTGAACCAGAGTTTGTCTACTAACTGCAAACAACCCATGATGTATATGTGTCATTGCTCAAAGTGTTGTCCAAAGTGCACAGTTTACATCAAATGTGTTTCCATTGCTCTAATTCTGATGGTTTACTTTTTAATAAATCTATGAAACTGCTCAGAAACAGCTTAGCATGGTAAACTGGACTTTTGTATCAGGCAGATGCTAATCCTGGCTGTAACAATTATTAGCCATATGACTTTGGGCAAATAATTTAATCTCTTTGATTCTTAATTTTCTCACGTATATAATGAAAATGATAATATTCACCTGAAGTTTTTTGTGTATAGATGGAGTAATGTATTTAAAACGTTTGATACCTAACATTTTTAAAAGATAATAATTTTTATTATCATGTCAGCATTGCTATTAGTGTTAAATATTAGAGGTACTTTTCTTCAAAGCAATTAAGCTATACATGTGGTTGCTAGAAAATGCCTTCTCTTCAGACGATACTGGACTACTTATTCCTTCTGGGCTCTATTTTGTTCTCTGTTGGATTGAGTGGTTGGTTGTTTGAAAGCTTGGCAGGGAGGGGGACTGTGGTTAATCCCTCTTCTCCTTTCTCAACAATGCTTGTAAAAATTTTATCCATCCTTTAAGGTCTATATCAAATAATTTTCTATGGCTGTATCTCTGATTACTCCCTAATTAGAGAAGAATGCTCTCACTTTTGGCGACCTATAACACCTTTTAGATTTTTTTCTCTTGGTACTTTTCATTTGACCTTACATCACAGTCATTTGCAAGCTTAGGCAGTTCTTCCTGAATAGTTGACTTCTTGGATTCAAGGACTCACCTTCACGACTCCTGCAGTGCCTAGCACAATGTCTGGCACAAGGCAGAACCTTTATAAGTAGAAATTGAGGGGCACTGAATCAGATTTTTGCAGTCAGGATTTATGCACTCACCGTCCTCACTCACTCATTTGACGTATATGAATGACACATCTCTCATACCCTTCTATCCAGAGATCACTGCTGAGATGTTTACATTCATATTTTCTCTGATAGTCAGGGTCTAGAGGCCCTGAGATAGATATGAGAAGAGGACAGTACCTAGGATCATGGTTAGGTGAAGATCCTCATGGAAGATGACGAGTCTGTTTGCAAGCCATAACGCTTAAAAACACACTCCATAGAGCGAGCACATATAAGCCAAATTCTAGCAGGAAGAATGTTTTCAAAGTCCTCCAGTCCAACAGAGTCTTCTTGTCACCTAAGATTTAATTACATGTAGCCCAATACTGATGCCGCCTACAGAAAGCCACTAGAATTACCACCACCACCCTCTCCAGATTTCTAAGAATTAAGGAGTAGGGAAGGACTACTTGCATTTATCCTGGGCACCTCTAGCTCTTATTTTCTTGTCCTGCTGGGTTCTCTTTACCTGTGCTTTATCTTCTCTCCTACATATGCTATCTCTTGTCCTGAACCTTATGTTGGATACTACTCCGTCGCTTTTGTAAAGAACCCCCCAACACAAGTGTGTATCAAGATATTTGAAATCAAACATGAAAAGTCCTTTTCAGGTTGTCGCAACACCACCTGACATCTCATGTAGAGTGCTGACCAACCCCTTCCTTTCCTGGTTTCTCTTCCCTCCTCCTTTCTTATCTTTTCTCAGCTGGCCTCAGCCCCTCCCCTCCTCTTCCTATTACTGTTTTCAGGCAGAGAAAACCATCTCTCCCTTTGTTTAACGTGAGCCTGTCTAAATCATACTCCAGGGCAGAAGTCACTTTTCACATTTGCTGGCCTCCAAAAGTTATCGATGTATTTTGCAAAGGAAGGAAGGAAGTAAAGAAGGAAGGGAGGGAGGGAGGGAGGGAGGAAGGAAGAGGGAACAGTTTTCCTTCATCAAAGGGATTTTGCCTCTTTGGGCAGGGGGAGGCATTTTTTCCTCTCATCCACACCAGGAACAGAATGAGAGGGATCAGAGTCAGAGAAGACAACAACCTGCCTGCCAAACTTGAAAAGACAGAGTGCCTCAAAGTCAACAAGGTAAAGTAAAACATCAATATAAGTCAAGCAGAGATACAGCAAAGTAAGTCAGGGGCCAATCATAAATTAATGTCACAAAAATTTATGTTCTGTTTACATCATCTCTCCTTATATGGGTGGACTGCTCCTGCTAGCTTAAGCAAGGGTCCTTAAAACAGCAGAACTGGTCCACATACCCAAATAGATTATAAACTATTTCAGGGAAACATACTTTGAGATCATCTCCCAAAAGTCCTAGAACAATAAATTACACAGAAAAAAAAGCACTTTCTAAATACTTTGTTGTAATGACATATACTTTCTCTGATGAGGAAATACTTACACGACTCCCCTCTTCCCAGGTGCTATAGTCAAGGCAGAATATGAGAAATAACAAAGGGGTTCTCTGGCCTTGTGCCATCATCAGCATAACTGCTGGACACTCCCTTTCCTTAGCAAGGTCGAGAGATGGCTGATCCTCATAGGAGATTCAGAAAAATCCCCTACATGGTCCAGAGGTTTCACACACTCTTATGGACTGAATGTTTGTGTCCATATGTTGAAGGCCTAACCCCCAGTGTGATGGTATTTGGAGACTGGGCCTTTGGCAAGTAATTAGGCATAGATGAGGTCATGAGCAAGGGGCCCCAGGATGGAATTAGTGTCCTTATAAGAAGAGACACCAGAGAGCACTCTTGCGTTTGTGTTCTCTCTCTCTCTCTCTCTCTCTCACCTGTGAGGACACAGTGAGAAGGTGGCCATCTGCAAGCCACCTAGTGAACACTCACCTGAAACTGAACCCTACTAGATACTTATCTTGGACTTTCCAGCATCCAGAACTAAGAGAAAAATAAATTTCTGTTGTTTAAGCCACCGAGTCTACAGTATTTTGTTATGGCAGCCCAAGCTGACTAAAGCACACACACACACTCGCACACCTGTAAACATGCATTATTTTCATGAGAAATATATAGAATAAAAAATAGAATTATTATCTATTGTTCTTAAGCCAATCATACTGCACCCCAGAACATAAACTACCTCATTCTAAACAGGTTCTGTTTATTTAGAGAAATGTGGCTTGCTTTTGATGTTCCTGAAAAAGAATGAGAACATATGTGCTCTCCAGTATTCTGTGGGAGGAAAGAAATTTGTGAGTGGATTGTGCTGTGGCCTCACAATTTCTGTCATGAGAAAGGTAATAAAATGGGTCAGAGCACATCTCCATTCCCATCCTCAATACCTCATAATCGTTCTTGCACTGAATCAGTTTTACCTCAAGCAATGCGTCTGTCGTTCACCCCATCACAAAGTTAGGGAGGCCAGCTCTCTTGTCCAAGACAGTTCTGAACGTCGTTCTGAACGTAGAA